TATCTGTACATAATTTCCTAATATCATCATGTTGAAAAAATCGTTAAAAATTAATAAAATAAATGATAAATAATTTAATGTTCTAATAAAATAATATTAGCTCAGAATATAATTAATTGATAGTCTATAAAAAGTAGGTTTGCCAGCCTTAGCATTTCTTTTGGCCGTTGCACAGTGTTGTAAAACTGCATAAAAGCTATATGGTGTAAAAAAAACACGTTCTACACTCTCAAAACTTTCAAATATTACGAATAGTTTACTCTCATATGCGCTGCATGCAATTTTAGCAAAGGCCAACACATTTTCAAATTGATTTTGTCCATCAAGCATAAACCTTAACTCAAGCATACGTTTACCAATACTCAAAACCAACACACTACGCAACACTGGGCCCCGTTTGGGCCTGGACGCAGCTGCAGTCCGCACCTGGACTTGAATTAGTTACGAGGGCGTGTTGTCTTTTGATGCGCGACGCCATTATAAGCACTCGCACACACACTCGCACACACACTCGCACACACACTCGCACACACTCGCACACACACTGTACAAATATAAAGTGTGTGTGTGTGCGTGACTTTTGTTCTTGTTGTCATTTCATAGCCACTTTGCTGTGAGAAACAACAGCAACAAGGACCATCAAGGAGCACATTACGAGTCTGGATCCCTTTGCGGCGCCAGGCGCTTTATTTTGATTTTGATTTAACGAGAACAACGACAACTATTTAATTTAGTCATCGCAACGCTCTTGTTATCGATAGGCGGGCCGCATTTTCAATATGCAGAAGCCGTAAAGTTTTGTTTATTGCCCGCCTTTCGGCTGGCTTAATTACGTTTCGAGCGCCAAACCGCAAAATCTGATTTCGAATTATTGCAAAGTTTTTGTTTGTCAAACAACACACAAGAGATTACAATACAAAATGTAGCTCAAAGCGACGACAAGACAACGAAATAAACATCCAAACTTTGTTTAGATTGCATATTAAATTTGTGACAAATAGATGACTTTGCGGTTTGGACATATTTAGAAGAAGTGAGGGGCGAGAAGAGACTGATTGGCATTAAAAACTCATTAGGTAACAAAAGTCGAACCAGCAAGCGGAAAGTCGCCGATTCAAATCTTGCAAAAAATTTGCATTTATATAATGAACAATAAAAAAATTTAACCTTTTTATGCATGTTTTGTAAGTCAAGGGGTCGAGCCCCCTTAGAGGAAGAACAAGAAATTTAATTTCAATATATATTTGTTTACCAATAAATAACAGAAAGCATAAACGGCTTTGTATCTGTCGTAAATGAATAAATAATTCTGCTAGCACTTGCATTTTTCGTCTTGTTAATTTGACTCGTGCAACGCCGGGTAATTACTTTGGAGAGATAACATAACTCGAGTTTAAAGCATATATAGAGAGAGCTGAGCAATACGTAAAGTAGTTAACTTGAAGTTAATTACAACAGACTCCAGGAAAGAACTGGTCGCTAGAACAAATGAAAAGGCGAAATGCGGGCGAAAAGAAAAGCGAAATTCGGGCGAAATGGTCTTTGACTTCTAAGCAACCAAACAAATCAAGTTTTAAAAACCTCCAACAACTTGTTCTTCCACAAAAGCGAAACTCTTATAAAAGCGAAATTGTGGCGAAATTGTTTTGAGCATAATCGGCGAAAATGTTGAACGTCAATTAGGATACAAGTGGAAAAACTGCCTGATAACAGTTGAAAAGTTGAATTCACAGCAAAAAAAAATAAAATTTAAGAATTGCTACCCCCAAAACGAATGCCATTTGAATAGATAATGAAACCCGGGCAAATCTCTTCATAAAGCATCCAACAAAGTGGCGACACTCGGTCCGGCCATCGAATTGATCGAGAGAGAGAAAAAAAGAAAACGCCGGGAATGTGGCCCGAAAAACTGTTATAACAATAAATTAAGTTGCTGTTGCAGCATAAAAACCAAATTGCCAAATGACTCAAGGCGCAAGGACGGAGCAGGAACTGGGACTGGGACTGGGACTGGGACAGGGACAGAGACGGGGGCAGGGTTCGCTATGGGGCCGGGGCAGAGCACCCGCTAAAAATGTGCAATCTGTTGACGAATCATCAGAGATGAAACGAATCGGATTGAGACTAGAAACTACAGACTAATGGGTGAGGGGCCAGGGAAGGGGGGGCGCGGGCAGGGGTTGGCTAAAAAGCGACCCTTGCAAAATGCCGTAAAACATTCTCAAATGGTTTTTATTGAGGGCTTTGTGCCATTTTTCGGTTTGACTTCGTTGCGAGGCCAATTTAATAGCATACTTTGCAGCGCTAAGCGGGGAAGCAGCAGAAGCAGAAACAGAACTTGCTTAGCAGCAAAATAAGAGCAAGAACAAGAGCCAAGAGGAAGAGGAAGAGTAACAACAACTATCCCACAAAATGCGCGACAAACAAACAAAATGAAGTGACGGCAACTCGCGAATCCAACCAAACGGACGTTCATTGTTATTTTAAGAAAAGCAACACGACAAACCGCCTACCACAGCACCCTCCCTCGCTCCCTCTCGCCCTCCTCCACCCTAAGCCCCCCAAGTTTACCCACAATTCAAACAATCTTACTTAGTCTTAGACCATAAAAACGCCGCATTGATACCCTCTCTACTGCCCAAACAAAATTAAAGCGCTCATCATGCACTTACCCCTGTAAATACGTTTGGGCTCTACCTTCCTTCCCTGAGCCTGAAAATGTCCGTTTTGCTTTTTAAAGGCATCTCGATATACTTTCTACTTTATATACTTTATAAACAAAACGGAAATACGCTAGTTAAGCACACTTTTATATATGCTAACTGCTCTCAATCTATTCCCTTCCCCATATACGGTAGAGTAGCACCAAAGAGCCGTACCGGGCAGTATTTTTTATATTATCAGCATAATAAGACCAACTGAATACCAACTCAGTCTAATTAGCCTAAAAACTATAGTAAAACAACCTATTACCAACCTAGCATCGATGGTAGGGTCAATCAGTACCCTGAGAACCTTGTGCGGTACCGGATAAAATACTTACCGGAGCAGTTTCCATAATACCAGCAAATTAAGCTTGTTTTTATTCTAATATGTCTAAAAACTTTATTGAAAACACCCTCTAATCAACCTAGCATCGTATGGTAGGGTATAGACCCTACCTGATATCAGTACCCTAAGAACCTTGTGCAGTACCGGACAAAATTCGTAATCCATTGTTATTTAACGAAATTTTTATTGAATTCAGCTTATCTGATATGATTTTTGTGCCGTATTTATGAATAACTACAATATAAAGCTCAAGCCAACGTAGCACCCTCTCATGTAAGCACTAGAAAGAGAGCAGTACCGGCTTGGTCCTAGCATTAACAGCTGTAAAAGGCTGTAAACATCTTAAGAGAGGCTATATAGAGCGCCAGCATGGCGCCAAATCAGGTAATCAGGTAACCGCACTCATTTGAAGACCCGCTTGGAGAGGGTGCTGTGCGCAGGGTAGCAGCATTTGACAGCCTTTTTTACGCATTTACAACCTACTAAAGTACCAGGGATTCGGCATTTGCTTGGTTGTATTATGTCAATGTAAGCAGAGTAAGACCTTCAGTTCTACCGATATTTTTTATTGATGTCACACCAACTTTTATTCGGCAGTACCGACACGCTCCAGCAAAAGACTTTAGGAGAAATTGAAGAAGTGTGTGGCAGTAGAAAAGTTGAAATATTCGATTCAGGAGCATATTGGGCACACGGAGCTCGATGTTGAGGGTTTAAACGAAGAAAGAATATAAATTTGTTGTACTCATTAGTTAATCAGCTGCAGCTACATTTTGCTATTGGGAAATGTATCTTCCCCTTCAAGTAGTTCCCTTTCACTTCAAAAAGTTGAGGGGCCCGTTGAATGAGGGTATTTGAAAAGAAGACATAGCATAACGCTGTAGCTGGTAGCTGCAGGAAGCAGCAACGATTCCAGCGACTCCCTTTCCCAACTTCCGCTTTGGCTTGCAGCAATTTCTTTTGGCTTTATTGCCCCCTTCCACAGACGGCGACCGACGGCACCCATTCTCCCTCTCCGTCTAACAGAGCAGACTTTACATCCTACCCGCTGCGGCAGAACGCATATAGCATAAATTTTGAATACGCTCAAAGGGGGGCGGGGGGTAGAGATTGGGGCTGGGGATGGGGGGTTTTGTCCGAAAGAAAAATAGCGAAAATTGTCTGTCGCTTGATAAAACGGAAGCAGAACTTGCCCATAAACGAAATGTGGCAACTGAGTGTAAACTTTATTGGCGCCCGACCGACTGGCGACAACGTTTGCCAGAACTCAGCCGGAGCCGGAGTCGGCGAGGTGGAGATGGAGAGGGGAGCAGGAGTCGGTGGCACATCCATATCCAGAAATAGAAGCATGTTGAACCGTGTTGACTCATGCGACACGCATTTGGCGAAGGAAGCCCCCAGACATGCCCGGCGCATTGGCGTCTCGATGGCTGCCAGCGAGACATGAGACGCCAGAAGCAAGAAGCGAGAAGCGAGCAACGAGCAGCGGCTAGGAGAGAAGCTGCGTTGTTTGTTTTGTCTGCCTCATTTCTCACACTAACGTTCGGCTCTTGGCTGTGGCACAAGGGGAAGTCCTACATTAGTTGATTTCATGCGCTGTTTACATTGGCAGCGAATTATGCGCATTGAAAAGCCAAAGATTTGGCTGCCAACTGCTTTGCCGCTTCTCCCTCGCACCAAAAGCTAAACGGGGTCTACGGCCTGCCAGCCTAGTTCCTATATCCGGGTGTCATTGACGAGCATTTTTTTGCATCTCTTAGCGGGGCTCCGGCGTGTAAAATAAGACTTCGCCAGACAAATTTCTTCAAGGGGGTAAGAAAGTGGTTTTATTTTTTGCCCGTCCCAGCATAGAGATTGGCTTGGCTTTAAGCCCTGGCACATTAATGCATTTCTCATTCTGTTATTGTCTCTCGACTGAAATATTTTTCCATCTGTTTTCCCATTCGCAGAGGTCCTGTCCAGCTGGGAGGAATGGTGGACGTACGATGGCATTTCCGGTAAGTTACATATTTATTCGAATTCAGAAGTAAATTTCAATTGAATTTAAAGTGTGCGTAAAATGTAGAAAGAACAAACACTCTGCAGACATTTGCGAGCAGCACTCGATTCATTCACTCGTTAACAAATGTAACGAGTGGCAATTACTCGCTGCACTCAATCGATAGAGCGCATAAATTTGTCACGACACCGCCCTTTGTAAATACCAAGTGCTTGGCTTAAACTCAAGCGAATATTTCAAATGCCTGAGCAAACAAATGCAAATGAACAGAGTTAACAACTGAATAAAATTCGACTTGGCGTATCATATTTAAATGTAACTCATTCAAGCTTAACTAATTTACAAATGCATTCATAAGTTAAGAACATTCGAAACATTTGTGGCTATTCGAATGTATTCAAAAGAGGTACAAGTATTTGATTGGAAATGGAGTGGGAAGTGAATAGAGATGGAGATTCATGGACAGAAATATAATAGAGAGATGCGAAGCAAGATATGAGATGGAGATGATACAGATACGGATATAGATATATATAGAGCTATAGAGCTACTGAGATATAGAGATATAGAGATATAGAGTTTTTGTAGAGATATAGAGACATAGAGACATAGAGACATAGAGACATAGAGATATAGAGATATAGAGATATAGAGATATAGAGATATAGAGATATAGAGATATAGAGATATAGAGATATAGAGATATATAGATACATAGATATATAGATATATAGATATATAGATATATAGATATATAGATATATAGATATATAGATATATAGATATATAGATATATAGATATACAGATATATAGATATATAGATATATAGATATAGAGATAAACCAAACCCTGAACAAAAAGCCAAAAATCGGTTGAGATTTGATTGAGTTATGGGAGTGGGAAATTTCGACCTATGTCTAAGTAGAATATTTGAGGGTATACCCCGGGCACGTGGCACGTTCTCTCAAAGATCTTTGAAAATGAATTTTAAGCCGATCGAACGGTAAACGAAAAACTTTTATACAACCCTTTTCCACCAATTTTCCACACTTGCGGGTGAAATTTCTCAAATCCCCTTCTTAACGTGCACCTTCATCACATAAGGTACCTACAGTGAAAATTTCACTGTGCGTTGATCACCAATCAGTCAGTCAATCAGTCAGGCAGTCAATCAGTCAATCAGTCAGTCAGTCAGGACAAACAGTTTAATTTATAGAAATATAAATACAGAGATAGAGATTTAGGGCGATAGAAAGATAGAGATAGAAAAAGAGGTAAAGGTAGAGATACTAATAGAGAGAAAGAGAGAGAGAGAGAGAGAAAGAGAGAGAGAGAGAGAGAGAGAGAGAGAGAGAGAGAGAGAGAGAGAGAGAGAGAGAGAGAGAGAGAGAGAGAGAGAGAAAGAGAGAAAACTGGCTGCTGCTATCTGTCATTCGATCCGATTGAATTGGACTTGAAAGTGAGAAAAATAAATAAAATAAGCGGCAACATATTTGTGAATAATGCTCCCGAGTTGTTCGAGTTGTGCGTGGGCTGTGCGGGGCCTCCGTGGACCGGGTCGGTGCCACAAGCGGCCATTTTTGTTGCAGGTTGCAGCAGGACGCAGTTTTATTAATGCACCAGGGGCAAAGACAGGGGCAGGGCAGCGGCAAGGGTAGTAGTAGAGGTAGAGCCAGGCGACAGACAACGCAAAAACAAAACGGGCAACAAAACGAATGAATAAGTGAATAAATGAATGAGCGAGTAAATGAGTGTGTGAGTGAGTGAATGCAAACACAAAATGAGCATCAACAGCAGCATGCAGCATGGGGAGCAGGGAGCTCCACCCACACACACAAAAGTTGCACTGACACGCGGCGCTTTTTAAACTTTGCCTAGGAGCAGGGTGTGCCTGTGAGAGGGTGTGCGAACCTGTGTGTGTGTGGTGTGTCACATATCATCAATATATAGACACACACCCACAGCACAGCTGCTCTCTTCCTCCCTCTCTCTCGCTCTCCCTCTCTCTCTCTCATATTGCCAGCTTCCTGCGGTAGTTCATAGGAGCACCCTCTACAATGAGCTCTACCGGGTCTACCTCAGCACCCGCTCATAGCGAAAATAGTAGAAAAATTACAGTCAGCTTCGTGTTTGCGTGTAGCTCATTAAACTTGTCAGGCATTGTTGATGAGTTTACGAAATAAACCGTGTAAAATATCTCTTTGTTCCCATTGGAAATGGGTAAAAATGGGAGAAGGTAGCATTAGAGAACCCTTAGAGTATAAATCTTTTAAATCAGCCATATCCGTCTATCTCTGAAATCTTAGAATCTATTTGAACTTTTAATATCTGCTTCCATTTTCATAATATCTATTAAAATAAATCTGGAAACATGCAAACTTAAGCATAACTGGAAGATAATAGAATAGGAGATACATTAGCGTATAGTATAAACAGATGGGGAATATATTACTTTATGCATAACTCTACAAAGACCTTAGAGATTAATTTTTGCAGCTAAAGCCTTGGGCTTGGGTATGCACGCACTTCAGTATGCCCTAGCTTAACCTTGAAAAATTCAGACAGTTCGGACTGCAAACGCCAGAGTTATAAGGGAATGCACTTTTTCCTTAAAAGTGTGGGGCGTGACGGAAGAAGAAGAAGAAGAAGCACTGGGTATCTCCTAGTCGTGCACGCCCGACTAGCGCTCTCTTAATTGTATTTCTTGCTCTTTTTTTTTCGTATTTAGATTGCGAAAAATGCAACAGCAGAAAATATTTAATTTTTCCATACGGCAACTGCACACAACACACACCCCCCCCCCCCATCAAAACCCCTTCCCCCTTATAGGGCTGACCGGGGAAGGGGAAGAGGGGGGGGGGGGTGGGTTTGTTGTTTTGAAAAGTTTCGACAGTTTCTGTTTCTGTCACATCAAATTGAACATTCGCAACACGGGCAAAACAACAATCGCAGCGCAGCGCCAACTAACGCTTACCTAGGCTGAGGGCAGGGGTCAGCTCCGGGTTAAGTGTAGTTGGTGAGGGGGCGGGGCGGGGCGGGGTGAGTGGCTTTGGCCATGGGCGTGGCAACTCGCATTTGGTATCATTTAATTGCTATTTAAACTGACGGACAGCGAGCCGAACGGTGCGAGAAGGAGCTTATGAAATTTCATTTGGTGTTTGAACTGTCGACGCGTTGTTTACAATTCGTCTGGATGTGAGAGGGGATGATGACGAGGGGTCGTCACGTGGGGTCGTGGGGATTCGGACTCGATTTCCATTTGCCCAACCGATTGACAGTCACGTCAAACTGGCAGCTATCATTCAGTTCCTTTGTATACCCTGTACAAATAAAGTGCACACAAGCTGGGCACGATCTTTGGCTCAGTCTCGAGAGTTCAGATCGGTTTTCGATAACCTTCACAGTTCGCAAAAGCTGGCTGCTACGACACCTTTTATCACATAAGACAACCAAGTTCGAGCTCGAGTCCCGAGCCTGTCCAAACTCAGAGACTCTAAGACTATAAGAGTTGCGACCTCAGCTACCTTGGGCTTACGCATAGGGCATCTGCTAGTCGACTACTGCCGGCTCATTTAATTATTTATTGTTTTTATCTATTTTACTTGTTACTTGCAGGTCCCAGCTTCTGGGGCCTCATCAATCCGCAGTGGAATATGTGCAACAAAGGACGCCGCCAGTCGCCCATTGATGTGGTGCCCGACAAGCTGCTCTTCGATCCGTACCTGCGACCGCTGCACATTGATAAGCACAAGGTAAGTCCTACCGGAAACGACTTCAACCCCCTCTCTCTGCCTCCCGCTCTCTCACTGTTTGACTAACACGGACTGTCGTCAACAGGTTTCCGGCACGCTGCACAACACGGGTCAATCACTCGTCTTTCGCGTGGACAAGGACACAAAGCAACACGTGAACATATCCGGAGGTCCTTTGGCCTATCGCTATCAATTCGAGGAGATTTACATACACTACGGCACCGAGAACAGTCGCGGCTCCGAGCACTTTATACAGGGCTACAGTTTCCCGGGCGAGGTAAGTCAATCAGCGTCGGGCTAGTCCGCCAGACCAACCAGCAGCAATATTAATGTTGTAACATATTCCACAATACACACACGCACACACTCACACACACACACACACACAGATACAAATCTATGGCTTCAACAAGGAGCTGTACCACAACATGTCCGAGGCGCAGCATAAATCACAGGGCATTGTCGGGCTCTCGTTGATGGTGCAAATTGGCGAAACGCCCAATCCCGAGCTGCGCATCATAACAAGCACATTCAACAAGGTCCTCTATAAAGGTGAGTATCCATCCATACCGATAGTATCGGCACGAGTTATTTATTTTACCAACAATTCTTGCCAAAATGAATTCTTATTCTTATTTCGTCGTGTCACGAGTCACACGCATCTCTAGATGTTTCACAACTTTGTCTAGACTGTATATATATTTGTCAAAACTATGCCGATAGTATCGGCACGAGTTATTCAATCACATCAATTTCGCATTCATAAAGCAACTTTTACCAACAATTCTTGACAAAATGAATTTGTATTCTTATTTCTTCGTGTCACGAGTCACGCGCATCTCTAGATGTTTCACAACTTTGTCTAGACTGTATATATATTTGTCGAAACTATGCCGATAGTATCGGCACGAGTTATTCAATCACATCAATTTCGCATTCATAAAGCAACTTTTACCAACAATTCTTGCCACTATAAAGCTCTTCTTCACGACTTTTGAATAAAAGCGAATTATTTCTTCGTGTCACGAGTCACGCTCCCCTCCAATTTTTGTGGCAAACTTAAATTTTATAGTGTTTCATATTACAATTTTCATGTCACGAGCCACTCCCATCCCTACAACTCTATAATTTATAATTTAATTAATGATTTATGGATTCACTTTTATACTTACATGGATTGAGATGTTTCATCTCTTTCGTGAGCACGATGACGCCTCGTGTCACGCATCTTGCTCATCTCTAGATAAATTAGTTTTGTGAGCCCTTTGTTTTATTTATAAAATTTTCCCATCCAACCGAAGATTTGCTCCTGTTTGCAGCTTAAGGCCCATCTCTATATATAAATTCAATCTCAGCCCTTATGCTTACTAGAGCTATATAAAAGCAATTTCACACATCCATCTCAAATTCCGTTCACGGCTTGATTGCGCAAAGATCTCTAAAAATAAAGCACGAGTACGTCGTGTCACGACAATAGTACATAAGGCCTACCTTTGTTACCTTTGTTCATTTCGGTCGTCTTACAAGCTTAAGAACGAACTAACGAAAGAAAAAGAGAAAGAAACTTTGGAGATGTGCGCAAATCGTGTCATGAAAGATCAAGTTTTTTGTAATAATAAACGAAATTCGGCGTTGGTCAATAAAGAAATTTCGTGTCACCTCGGGCTTGTTCTTTTTCACAGCTCAATAGCTTTTGTTATATAAGAATACTTAAAAGTCGTGTCACGAATTGGTTTCTGACGTTTACCCAGCGCTAAATCGTTTGTCATTCTTTTGATGAATTAATTTAGACATTTATGCCACCTATCGTGTCACGAGCAGTATTTTGACATGCATTTTTGCACCCTTCAGTACTTCAGACTCTAATTGCAATCCAATCAATCCATTTAAATGCATTCTTGTACTACACGCGTGTCACGACACGACTCACGCCCATCTCTAGCTGCATATTGGCATCACACTTTTCCGTAAAACGTTAACCTTTCTCGTTCAGGTTCTAATTGCAATCCAATCAATCCATTCAAATGCATTCTTTTACTACATCTCGTGTCACGACACGACTCACGCCCATCTCTAGCTGCATATTGGCATCACACTTTTCCGTGAAACGTTAACCTTTCTCGTTCAGATTCTAATTGCAATCCAATCAATCCATTTAAATGCATTCTTGTACTACACGCGTGTCACGACACGACTCACGCCCATCTCTAGCTGCACTTAGGCATAAGTTTTCCATGCAATATTCGCTTCTCTCGTCCAGGCTCTAATTGCAATCCAGTCAATCAAGTTCAATGCACTCTTTTTTGCTACAACTCGTGTCACGACACGCCTCACGCCCATCTCTAGCTGCACTTTGGCATAAGTTGTCAGCATTCTTTCACGTACAGTCGAGCTGAATTGCGTTTGATGAATTCTCCAGTTGGGCTTCAGCTGGCAGGGCGAGGCGTGGGGCGGGGCAACATCATTTCCGTTACGCAAAATGCACCGGAAATGTTGCAACGTTTGCCTGGCTCATGGCTCGCGGCCCATGACTCGTGGCTCGTGGCTCGTGGCTATGCGGCGAGTTCTTTTATGATGTCATTCCGCAGCAGCAGCAGCAGCAGCAACAACAACAGCAGCAACAACAACTGTCAGTGCAACTGCAGCTGCAACAGGGACTGCAACAATTGTGTTGGCAACAACAAGCTGCATAATTATGTGCGGCAACGTTCTAAAGTGAGCCATAAAAATTGCTCGACAGCCGTTGGCCGCGAAATTGGCGCCGCGGCGCGCAAAGTGACGAAAATGAAACCTCGAATTACACTAAACCGACACTTAATAATTCCCATGCCCAAGCTCTGGCCGACCCAGTTTAATAGCCTTTTTACAGGTCGTACAACTTTATGTAGCCCCATCAAAAGGAAAAACTACAAAAACGAGAGAGAAAAAAGAAAAAGGAAAAAAAAAACAGCTCCTCTTTCCTCTCACGGAGTTTCCTTCAGACCGTTCGCCTTGGTTTTGGACTTGTAAAACGACTCAGAGTGCAGAAAATATGCGGCCAATTTCTGTGAACCAGCTGGCAAAACAACTTGAAAGTTTAAATGCGCCAAAAGCAAAGTCCCTGCAACGAATGCGAAATACACTAACAAAGCGCTCGAACCAATTGTTATAGAAGAATCGAAATCAGAAAGCGAGAATGGACACAGCGAAAGGCATTCTGCATTTCATGAGCTGGCAGTGAAAGTGAAAATGAGAATTTCACTTGTACAGGGGAAAATTAAATAAAGTTATCGAAAAAGTTATCGGTTTCCAAACTTTGAGTACATCAAATCGCCAAACTATTGCTATGTGGAGTACAAAAAAACAACATTCGTTTTGATTGACCAAATGAAAAACATAAACTTTATTTCATTTATCAGTTTTCCCTATCGATAACAATAAAACTATCGATCATTTGCAATCGGTTACAAAGCCTTCGTACAGCATTTAAGCTCGACATTAGCTAAATCTTGCAATAGGTATTTCCTACTATTGTGTATTAGAATCGTCTATTTTTATCGATAGCATCGATTTCTTATCGATTCTTGTTAGTCTTCTCTACTTTATACGACATTAACATAGCCTCAATTTTGAGAATACGAACCTGTTTAAAATACAATCGATTGTCAGGAACTTCCTATTTTTCGGCCTATCGATAAAAACGCTGTTCGATAATTTAGTTTATATCGATAGTTTAAAACACTTTCAGCGTCCTTTTCACGCATTCACATTTGAAATTAGGTTAAGCATTTATAATGCTTATTTCTCTTTCTAACCTTTTTATCGATAGTTTGTTATCGATATTTTTTTTTCATCACCTAGTGTAAATGTACGTCGTTGCACGTCGCACACGAACTTACAATTGTGCTGCAAATAATTTTTCGGAATGCCTTGCCTCTCGCCAAACCTAATCCTCGGCTCCCTCCCCAGCCCCCGCCAGCCCACACTCGCCCTCCGCATTCCGTTCGCGTTTTTTAGTTCCATTTGCCGTCGTCTCATAAACCGCGAGGCGCTTCATTTCCGGCTGGGCATAATGATTTGTATGAATGAAGTCGAGCGCCGTCGTTCAAGTGACCAACAAGAAGGCAACCAGCAAAATCAGACCCTCCACCCACTCCTCCCCGCTTCCGCTCATCCAACACCACCCTATTAACCCGTGAGCCCCCTACCCCCCCCCCCCCCCTACGTCCTCCTGCTGCCCCTTGAAGCTAGTCTGAATTATTCATTAGGTCCTTTCGTATCGTCGACGTTTTGCATTCACATTCCAAGCGCATAAATAACGAGACATAGCGAAATGTGCGCTCCATTTAAATGGCAGATGCACCTTGAACTTTCCTACATATACCCTGTAAAAGATGTTGAGGCTGAAAAGTATGCAGATCCATCATTAAAATACGCTTCGATCTCTAAGTGTGCGCTACTTCCCCGGTCCTTAAAAACTTGCGACTGTCCATGCCAAGGAATTCGAAGAGTAAACAAGCTAGAGTCAACATATTTGGTATTTACACTAGTTCGTTCCACGAACAATTCGAATCGTTCATAGCCGTTTGAATGATCAACTTATTACACGACTTATAAATGAACAATCAAATATAGAACTGGTTCTTGTTCGCTATATAGAACTAGCATTCCCAACAGAAGTTGGAACCGTGGAGCGAACCACTAAAATAGTTCGTAGGCTTGCAGTCCGAACAAAATGAATCATTCCCTATTGAATGAACTATTGAACTTGTTCACAAAATTGAACTAGAAGTCCTCAGGCTAGTTTGATCCGTGAACCGAAAGACTAAAATGTTAGGTTTGCAGGCTAAACAGAATGAATTGTTCAAAATCAACAAAATGACCGACTTGGTACATGACTCGCAAAAGAACAAGTGAACCTGTTCACCAAATCGAACTAAAATATTCTGTACTAGTTCCAACCGAGAGCGGGCTATCTGAACAAAGCGACTAAATAGACGATTAAGTTCACGAAATCACAAATAAACGATTGAACTGGTTCACCAAATTGAACTGGAAGTCCACAGGCTAGTTCGAATCGTGAAGCGAACCACTAAAACTGTTTGGTTTGCTGTCTACGCAGAATTACCGATTGAATGACCGCATCAGTGCATGACTCGCAAAAGAACGATTGAACCTGTTTACCAAATTGAACTAGTAGTCCCCACACTAGTTCGAATCGTGAACTGAGCCACAAAAAGTGTTTGGTTTGCAGCCTAAACAGAATGAATTGTTTACAGCTGATTGAATGACCGTCTCAGCGCATGACTCGCAAAAGAACTATTGAACTTGTTCACCATTTGGAACTAGCAGTCCACACACTAGTTCAAACAGTGAACCGAAGGAATGCAAATTGTTTTTATTTTTTAGCTTTCCGCTTTGATTTCTTAGCCTCGTATTGTCTGAATTGCCTTTCCAACCATCTTAATGTTGTCTTTCCTTTCTTTTCATCTCTTCTCTTCCCTTCTCTTCTCTCTTATTTCTAACCGTAGGCTTCTCGACGCCCATTCGGCATATATCGGTTCGATCGCTGCTGCCGAATACGGATCATTATATCACGTACGAGGGATCCACCACGCATCCGGGCTGCTGGGAGAGCACCGTCTGGATAATAGTTAATAAACCCATCTATATCACCAAACAAGAGGTAAGACTCCAAAAAACTAGATGCACAGGGGAGGACAACCCCCCCCCCCCCCCCATCCCTTATCACCCACCGGTTTTGGGTAGCTTTGCTTTTACAAGCGACCGCAAATAATGAAATGCATTTGGGTTTTGCAATTGCAATTAGGAAGGCCTTTTTTTATTATTTTTTGTTTTTGTTTTTTTTTTAATTGTTGAAAATCGCATAAATGCAATTATAAAATTTCTCATCAATTGGGCAACGGTCGCAACCCGCGGTTCAGTTGCGGTCAATGCGATGCTCTGCGCATAATTAAAAAACAATATTTGGTTAGTTTAATCAATTTGCATACAAATCAACAGAGAGACAGAGAAAGAGGGAGAGGGGCAGAAACTATGTAACTAGACAACAATTGAGGGGAGTGGAAAAAAACGCGAAGGAAAATCAAATAAAATGCGGCAACAAAGCAGTTGGTTTATATAATAGAGCTTAATCAAAAACAATGCGTTAATCAAACGCAATTGAATAGATCAAAATGGGAGGCTGGCTATTGTCATAAAGGGCGGCGGGGAGACTGGGAAGGCTGGGAGAAAGGAAATCGTCTAATTGGTTCAGCTGGTAGATCAACAAAAAAAGGCTAACCTCAACGGAAACTGCAAAAAGTGGCAAGATTTAAAAGTAAATAAAATTAAACAAAGTAACATAAATCAAATATGAAAGCTTTTTTTGCTAGTCAGAGCTGGGATGAATCGATTAAACGAACCAGTGTTGTAAAACGCGCAGAGCTAGCGTCTCTGTACAGCACTGTTAGCAGTACTATATAACACTGACAGCAGTGACTGTACATAAAGCTGAGCTGATTTGAGACTAAGACTTGGAAGAAGAGAAATTAATATAAACTCTATTAAATCAACTGCCAAAAGATATCCACCCGCAACTGTGGAAAACTAGAGGAAACGGGTTGAGTGAAACTTGTTGTATGCCAACCGATCCGCTTTAAACTCATTTTCATAGATCGTAGTGAATATTTTTAGGAACCTGTGACAGGTTTGACACTTTTAGTGAAAACATATGCCTTGTTTAGTTATTAGAGATCAAAGGTTGCAAGTTTTCTTTTTCAATTTGCGAAGCTCTTGACGTTCTTACTTAACGAATACGTGTTTCAGCTGTTTTCGAAATTCCACCCGAAACTGTGGAATATCGGCGAAAAGCAGTTCTATGCAAGTTTTTTGTGACCAATACCAGTTAATCGCTTAAAACCTCTCTCGCCTTCTTTTATATTTGCAGTTATATCAACTCCGACGACTGATGCAAGGCTCCGAGAGTACACCGAAAGCTCCATTAGGTAATAATGCGCGACCCGTGCAAAGTTTACACCATAGAACCGTAAGGACGAACATAGATTTTAAGCGTCATAAGGTGAGTGCACTTTAAAGTTATCTAAATGTGTGCTATCGATAACTATCGATATGTTATAAATATAGTATGCATATTGCTTGTGGTATACATGATTATATGATTGACTCACAGACTGACTGATTGATGGAAATTTTACTGTAGTATAAAGCAGCATACAAAATGAAGCTGTTAGACGGATTTCTAGCATAATTCCACCAGCAAGTGTGAAAAATTGGCGGAATTCGCATGTGTCAAACTATATGGCTTAGCGTACAATCTAGCTTCAACTTTGTTTCGCAAATTTGTAGTAAAAATGCATTTGAGACATTTTTCACCCTTTTCAGAGAATTCACGTCTCTTGAAGGGAAAGTGTGGAAATGAACGAAAATTCAATTCACGGCTTGATGTTGAGTTTTCAAAATGCTCGACAAAAAAATATTTATAAAAATAATATGAAATTCATACAGTTGGAAAATGAGTGGAAAAGTGGTGTCAAAAATTTGTAGATATTAAAAACTTGGGCCGGGCATAGCTGGGTAATGTCCGCTTGTCCAACTATATGGAAATACTCCATGATATCTGTTGCTATATAAAAGTATTCAATTAAATCCTTAATTATTTATGCTTTCATTCATGCTTTAAATCCGAAACAGAATCAAAACGCATGCCCTTCCATGTACAAGGACATGTACTATCGAGCGAATCGCTGGTCGCCAGACACGGGACTTCAGATACGTTGACGACAACAACGACAACAAAGAGAACAACAGCAACAACAACAACAACTGGAACTGGAACTGGAACTGGAACTGGATCTGAGGCTGGCAACGCATTTCGCATTTTTGATGCCGCATTCAAATTTTATATTCACGTTTTTGAAACGAGCTCAGGATTCGTTTGGCTTGCAACATTCCTAACAGCAACAACAACAACTATTACAAACAACAACAAACATCGCATATATATATACACACACACACACACATATATACACACACACATATATATATATATATATATATCGTTTCATTAATAGCAACAAGGTAAAAAGAGTTTGACTTCGGCTAGCCGAATGTCTAATGCCCTTGCAGAGTCCTCCGCCTGAACCGAATGCCGAGCTAGCCTTCAAATTATTCCAGCTTCCTTCTATATACACACTCATACACACACTCAACATATACATATGCACATATGCTTCTTAATCTTCCCTTTGCCCCAACAACTTTATATGGGAACTGCATTCCTGAGTAACTTCGGTGTTTATAGTCCGATCTTTATGAAATTTGCAGGCAAGGACAGATATCAAGGAAAAAATAAAGACATATTCGGCACGACGGAGCTTAACGATTCGACAGTTGATAGAGATCAAGATTATATATGCCTTATGGGATCGGACTTGCCAGACTTATAAAACCCTCCACAGGGGTTTATAGCCCGTGGTTCTGGTTCAGGGTATTCCACGGAGGAGATATCTCTTGTGAGAAAGTCAAAGTACTCTCTCTCTCTCTTTCTATCTGCAAGGACATGCCCTAACAAAGGCCAAACATATTTATGAACAAATAACAAACAAAAACCAGTTAATGCCACTGAAGCTAACTAAAATAGATAAATAAATAAATTTAATTTGGACGAATGGCAGGACACGCCCCACGCTGTGCCACAAATTAATTGCTGCCTTTTCATATTTGTGAAATCATAAAAATGCGTTCAATATTAGTTTAAACAGACACACACACACACACACACACACACACACATATGCACTAGCTGAGAATTTGTTATTATTTTTGTTCATATTTTTTTTTTAAAATTATTGATGGCCAATTATTGATTCAGCTTTATTTGCGGCATTTATTTGTATTTATTTATTTATTTTCCATTTTTTTTTTTTGTTTGGCTTTCACTTTAATTTATCATTTGATGCGCCACACACAAAGAACTAGCCAGCGAATGCGGCAAGCCGAATCTCAAATACCCTTGCAGCTGAATAAAAAACAAGCTAGAGTGCGCGTGTCGGCAGTGCCCGACTAGAAGATACCCTGAACCCAGCGACGAGCTGCTGTTGCACTCATTCTCTCCTGCCTCCTATACGCACACACATAAAAACACACACTCACACATACACACACACGCGCGCAAATGCAGCGGCTTGGCTTCTTCTTCGCTTTACCCCACATTCTTGAATAACTTCGGAGCTTATTGTCCGATTTTATTTAAAGTGGACTATCCCGAATCTCAGTGTACTAAACCAGAACCAAGCTGAATGCATCTAGCTCTTATAATGTTCGAGTTATCGAATCGGAAAATCGATTTTTATCGATATTAGGAATATGGAGTGGAGTTTTGAGGTAATGAGACTTTAAAAGTGTGCTATTCAGACTTTGTGAGTACGAAACAAGGAACCCCAAGACAAGTTTGCTGCATGTAGCTCTTTTAATTTTCAAGTTATCGAATCTGAAAATCGATTTTTATCGATATTAGGAATGTGAAGAGGAAATTCAAGGTGGGCAGATTTAACAAATAAACTATTAAGCATATGTGAGTATAAAACGAGACCCTTCAAGCCATGTTCGGTGCATCTAGCTCTTATAATTTTCAAGTTTTTGAGTCTAAATATCGATTTTTATCGAAATTAAGAGTGCGGCAAGAAGATTTCGGCTTGTGGTATTTGAAAAGTGAACTATTCCGCATTTGTGAGATCTAAACGAGAACCTTCAAGCTTATAATGTTTGAGTTATCGAATCTGAAAATCGATTTATATCGATATTCAGAATACAGAAAGGAGTTTTATGCTGGTGGCATTTAAGATGTGAACTATCCCGAATCTGTGTGTACTAAACAAGAACATTCAAACCAATTTTGGTGCATTCAGCTCGAGTTATCGAGTTATCGAATCTGAAAATTGATACTAAGAGATACTAAGAGAGGAAATATAGGTAAAAAAGACAAACTGATTATATTATTGGAAAATATATATGCAAAATATCAGCTAGTTCTACGGATATCTGAGATTTACGCCTTCATCGATCGACTGATCAAGGATATATATACTTTAAGGGTTCGCAGATGCGTTCTTCTGTTTGTCACCCTTCTAACCTAACGCAAATAGATATAACTCGAGTTTTCGTTAATCAATGCTACGGCAGCTATAAAGATATAGTAAATCGATTAAAATTGAGAATAGATAGCTATTAAAAACTAAATGTCTTAGTCGAACGAATCGAACCAGCAGCTGTTTCGATTTTCAAGAGCCTAGCTTGAAGCGGAGCCGAGTTCACGTAGATTGTTGAAGAATTTTATGATAATATGCGCTGCAAGGGTATAAGAAGAAGCAGAAAAACAAAAAACACAAATGAAATAAGAATTTCCGTAAACTGGATGGGTGGACAATAACTAAAGAAACCAAAAGGTAAATAAATACATTTATAGAAAGAAAAACAAAGCAGAAGAGAAAAAAAAAAGCAAAAATTAAAAAAAAAAAATATTCATATAAAGCATACAAGAAAAAAAGTAACTAAGTATATAGCTATATATGAATACGATATACAAATAAAAAACATATAACTCTATGAAAAGCAAACATTTGACAACTACAGAAAGGCAAAAAAAAAAAAAAAACTAAATGAAAGCCCCATCCCCAAAGGGAAAAAAAAAAGAACTACTAAGCAAAGCAGCAGGAAGTTGAAAAAGTTGGGCATAGCATAGAAAACTAAACTATAAAATAATATATACAAAATATAGATATATGTGTATGTGAAATATATATATATACATATGTAGAGTTACATAGCTAAAATATGTGTGTACACTAAGCAAGAGGGGAGAGCAAAACAGTTAAGAGCCAGCCAGTAAGTAAATGCCAGACACATATAATCGATAAATGCATACTATACATGATATATACACGATATATATATATAGATATATATACACGATAAATAGTCGCAATACGGCAGAGGCAAAGGGTAGGCAGCCAGTTAAATGAACGTCAGCGATATTGCTATCGATAACTAATCGATAAATCGTACTCAAACCAACTCTAGTTAAACGTGTTAAATGCATAAACTAAATTAGGCTTAACTTAAGTAGACGCAAATGCAAAACTAACTAATAGTAATTTTTTTTTTTTGTCACTATATCGATAGATGCTTCGATATATATATATATATCGATATACATATAAGTAAGTAAGAGTGCTGGACAGCGGACAAGTAATGCATAGCGCTTAGTTTCATAGCAATTAGCTTTTGTGTTTGTAACATATGTTATTCGGTTGTTGAAAATTCGTGCAATTATCATAAGTTATCCCCCAACAAAGTAAAAGTAAACGGAAGATGGAAGAGAAAGAGGAATTCCCTTAACATGAACTAGACGTAGTAGAGAAAAAATTGTCTATTTGTATAAAATGCGATTGACTGTAAGTTACTATTGTGTTGCCATATACGACAAACTATATAAATATATATGTATACACATGCTACCATATAGAAATGCAAAATATGTACTGCGACTATAGAGCAAACAATAGGAATATTAAGTGACAAATGCCAGACAAAATAAACGATTACAACAAAATGCAAAGGCGAAACAACAAATTGACAAAACAACTTTCGAGCAAACAATTATAAATGCATCTCTCTATTATTTTCCACATGCATAACATAGCGACAACAACAAATATTATGAGTAACAAATTGAAAATGAAATGCAAATTAATACAAAGAACAGAAAATTACACAAAAATAACAAAAAAATATATATATATATAAAAATAATAAAAAACAAAAAAAAACCTACTATGTGACAAAAGAAAAATAAAGATGAAAAATAAACAAATTCAATTAAATGCGCATTTTTTTTATCAAGTCTCAAACATTTTGTCAGCGAGGTCCCAGCCAAAAAAAAAAAAAAGAAGGCTTTTTGAACTGGTTCCTGCGATCTGAGCAGGTGAACAGAACTAGTTCCCTGCCCATTCAGCTCAAATTGCGCCCTTTTCATTAAGTTATTCCAGTTTGTGATTCAAGGCAAAAACATTTCTGAACTGGTTCCCAAGTGCTGAGCAGGTCAATAGAACTAGTTCACTGAATATGAAGTGGAACTACTGGAACTGTTTTAGGTTTGAGTAGTTCACACTTTGCTTTTGTTGCGAACCTTAACTCAAATCTCACATTTTTTTATCAAATCAAATTAACAAATCTGAGGAATATCATTTTCATAAACGTTGGAAAGGAACACAACAAAAATTGTTAAAGGATTCTCTGAATTTGCAAAGGGGAATATTGGAATAATACAGATTATCTGGGTATTTTCAGCGGAATGATGGAATGAAACGTTGAACTCAATGTAACAGATTTCACTTAGCGTCAGCAAACTTTGATAGACACAACTGTGATACTTACTCAAAGGAATGATGGAATGGAACAGAGTATATTAGAAAAAGGGTATCAATAAAGTTATTTAAGTATGCGTGCCTTTTTGTCAAGTAGTTGACACGTTTATATTTGTAAATTATCTCTCTGCGAAACGCTGGAATGAAACAGAGACTCAAAAAGGAAGCTCGCACGGAAAGTTCGAATGAAACTAACTTATCTATCTTATTTGAGACTTTCAATAGTTATACAACATGTTTAACATGTTGTACAATATTTTTAATTCCAGCGAAACGCCGGAATGAAACAGCAAATTTGATATTACGAACTGAGGCTAGCCATAGCTCAGCTATCGGTTTCTGAGCTCTGCAACGAAATGAATAAGAGATTCTGATTCCGCATTGAAATGAAGCAGCAAATGCGGTTATCATGAGGGCAAATGTTAAAAGCCACTCAATATCCGGTTTGCTAATCACCGAAACAAGTCGAAACACACAAATGAAATTCGGAATGCGTGAAGCTAATCAAGCAAGCGGCTGGCGAGGAGGAGGAGAAGGCAGCAGGAATTATGAAATGCCTTGGGCACAGTGGAACAAATCAACATCTGTTTGTTTCCTTTGTTGCCAGTTTGCATTTTTAAGGGGCTGCACCTTGGCGCCAGCTGCGCCCTATTTTAATATGCAATTTCAATTTCCGAAAAATACAAAAAAAAAAACACACACACAGCTCACTCAGCTGTGCATGGAGCAGGATCGGGGTCGGAACAGTGGACAGCCCGGGACAGCAGGGACCAGTGTT